ATTGTTTAATAATGAAATAAATATGTACTTGCAACAGCAACTGTTTTTCCCGATATTTCTCACCGGTACTGTTAATCCGTGGAACAACATGATTGGGTAGCTGTGCCATATACTCCTCAACCTAAAACTCACCAAGCAGCTTTGAAGTCGCTAAGAAGTTCTTCAAAAAATTTTTAAAAAATTACTATCAATTAATCCTTTTGGTACTTATTCCATAAAGGAACTGATTTATCAACTAAAAATTACTGGCTGGAACTGTTGACTAACCTTTCTGCGGTTGAGCCCGGGAGGAATCCAAGAATACCCATGACTTGTGCTACCGGGAGCACTGGACTGTACCGAGGAATCCACTAATGTTGCCATTCCAGCTGAAAAAAAAAAACACTGTAGAGACACATTTTTCATTATTTTTTTACTTTCCTGCCGTTTTATTTGCTGAATATTTTTCTGTTTTATTGTTGCTGCCGTTGTTGTCGTCCATCTAGAGAGAAAGAAAGAAGCGACAAGGTTACACAGAGATTCCATTTTTTGTAAAATTTAAATATGCTGATGATAAGGTTAAAACAATTGACCTTTCAAAACTGTTGCTTTTTTATTGTTGCTCTTAATGCTGCCGAAAAAATTAACAAGAAAATTTTTTTTCCTAATCAAAAATAATTGTAAAAAAAATGTGCTTAGCACACGGCAATATCACACAATGAGATACAATATCGGTGGAAGGAAAAACAATTATCATAAAAAAAAACTTTTTTGACTTTTCTCATTCTTCCTTCACCATCACCTCCCCTTTTCAGCTTTCTAAAGCCTTTTAAACAGTAAATTCTTTTTTATCGTCTTCTTCTTCCTTTATTTATTTTACATTCATTTTTCAACTAATATTATTTCTTTAAAAAAAAATTGATCTTTGGAACCTGTATGTTCCATAACAGAAGTATAATGATGCACAAAAAAGATGTTGCGATAAAGAAAAGTATATATACATAACACAAACATAGTCATCGATGTATAAGAATTGCAGTTAAAAAGATGCGAGTAGAAACAGATGCTTGCACTGGCAACTAAGGAAAAATTTGTGTCAACATGAACGGGATGTGGTAGCGCCCGACTCTAAAACGCTGATTCCGACAACCGCGTCGACCGTGATGTCGACGGTTAAAATGACGCATTCGCTCTAACTTAGCCCAATTATACAATGAATGAGAGTTTTAAGAGTTGGAAGATACCAACAGAGAAGATCAACAGCAGCAGCATGAATCCAGAAACTGGTCAAAAATTTTGATATTCAAAAGTACTTGTTGATATTAACTAACAAGCCCGTACTGACAGACTGAAATAATGCACATAATTTAAAATACAAATTCGACTGTGCTTTGAACAAGCAAGCTGCTGACCGTCTTTACGCACAGTGCTCTGAAACAGTCAGGCAAATCTTATTTCTATCAGCTTCTACAAAGACCAACACTTTTTACGTGCTATCGCTTAACGTTCGTTCCAAAAACTTGTCAAAAGCACAGGTCCTTCTGAAAAGCGTAACCATCAGCTGTTCATACTATTTGAAAGAATAACTTCAACACTTTCTAAACCTCAAATAGCAAAAAACAAGCAAGCATCACGCTGATAATCATTCTGATTTAATTTTTTATCAATTTTTTCAAAGTATCTAATAAGTTTGACCACGCATATCTCCAAAAATGAACTTTTGTGGAAGGATACTTCGGCTAAATAAATGTAGCTAAATAGATATAATTAGCAAGTCTTAAGAAAAACATCAAAAAACATCCAATATAAGTACAAGAAATACATATTTATAGATCTGAAATAGTGAAGAAGAAAAAATTTAGAAAAAGTAAAAAAAGAAAACTGCAAGAAAGAGAAGGTCAAAAGAAAGATGCCGATTAGACATAATTATAAAGTTAACTGTATCGCTTCATTGTAATAAATTTCAAAAAACCGCAAACTGACTGACTAAGTAACATAGCAAGAAGAAACAAGGAAAGTGAAATACTGTTCTGAAACTAATGGGAGTGTACCTTCCCTATCCTTCATCTTTTTTTTCTGTTTTTTTTTTTTTTTTTTTTTTTTTTT